TTTCCCATTCCCATCCTTAGTTTTCTCCTTGTGCAACTTTCATTATCTGATTTAGCTATGTTATTGGGGGCAGGGGTGGCATTGCCCTTTGTCTCCCTCCTGTTCCCCATAAATCCTGCAGCCGTCCTCCCGGCTTCCTCAACCATCGCCTATATCTCTCTCCGCTCTCGACTCCTCGTCTCCAGTCCCGTGACTCCAGCGATGGACTCTCAGACAGAGTAACCCTGATCCCCTCCAGCCCCCCGCCAATCCTCCAGGAGCACAGCTCTATAAAGCAGGTCTCGGCTGATAACCTCAGTCTTGCCTGAACAGCAGCTTTATCAGATGAGCAGTCCGTCAGGCTGTGGCGCTTCCACTCACTAATGACCGGAGACTCAGAGACTGCTATTGAAGAGCTAGTGGACATACTTTCTCGTTCTTCGAAACTCATGGGAATTTTATGCATCTCTTATGCTTGAAGATTTAGAAAATGAAATTCATGTGGACTTATTTTAAGTAAATGTGGTTCAAAATGGTCAGCAGCATTAAAGTATCAAAAAAGTGGCGCAACTGATTTATGACTTGCCCGCATCGTCAATAGTTGTGTCATGAAAAGATTGAAATTTTAGTGGTTGTTCATCATTCATCATTCAATCATTATTTTATTTCTTGGTAACCCTTTACAATATGGGTGCACTAATATGCATGTATGTAATTAATATGTAATTCATGTTTAACTAATTCATTCACAAATAATCATGAGTTAACGTTAACGTTAACTCATGAAGAACTAAACCATTAATTAATGATTACTGCATGAGCAACTAATAAAAAATCTATATGATTAATAGGTTAAGTAATACATGAATTGCGATTAATTCAATGTGTCATTGTGTATTAATTCCCTAATAACATATTTTATTAACTAATAGTGTAAATTAATGTGTTAATTACCACAATTAGTCAAAGCTATGCACTTCAACTTCCAGTTGTCTGCTTTAATTAATCATTAGCTAATGATTTGCAAAGGCATCATTATGCTATGACTTTACTTGATGGGGCACATCATTATTAACTAGTCATTTAGTAATTTGCACATGAATTTGCACTAACAATGAATTAATTAATCATGTATTAATGCTAATTAGTGTACCTGTCATATTATCTGGAAGTTGAAATACAAGGCTTTTGGCTCATTCTGGTAATTAACATATTAATAAAAAATATATAACATAAAAATGAGTTATTATGGATTTGATCCACAATTACATATTTAATTAATAACAATTCATGTATGAACTAATACATTAACCTCACAGACTCTTAATTAGTTCCTAATGTGGTAATCATCAATGAATAGCTTAGATAATCATTAGTTACACATTAATTTAGTATTATCTGTGTATTAGTTATTAGTGCACCCTTATTGTAAAGTGTTACCGACTAAATCAAAATTGAGTTAATACACTGCATTTAAAATTACACGATTATTAATGAATGAATGTTGGTCTATCGTATGACTTTAAATATTTTTTTAAGTATGCTGCAATATATTCAAAACTCCTGTCTCTTTAACACTTTAATTTAAGGTGACATGTTTTGTACATGTAAAAATTATGCATATTTACAACTATAACTAACCCTACAACAGTAACTAACCCTAAACGAAACTCTAACTGTATAACTCAATGTAACCACGTCACCTTAAAATGGTGTTACTTCATACTCAGATTATTGTGATTTAAAACAATTTTCGCTCAGAAATTGTAGTAAATTTCACAAATAATTACTAAGAAACAGCATGAAATAAAACAATTATTCGTAGATTTTGGATTTTATAAGTGTTATGTTTAATTGTTTGGGCTGTCAAACGATTAATCGCGATTAATCGCATCCAAAATAAAAGTTTGTGTTTACATAATATATGTGGGTGCACTGTGTATAATTATTTTGTATATATATAAATGCACACACATGCATGTATATTTAAGAAAAAAATAGTATTCATATATAAAATATGTATTTATATATAATATAAATTATATATATAAATCTATATACATGAAAATATTTCTTAAATATATACAAGCATATATAAAATAATTATACATAGTGCACCCACACATATTATGTAAACACAAACTTTTATTTTGGATGCGATTAATCGCGATTAATCGTTTGACAGGCCTAGTAATTTTTAGTTATTTTGAGCTTTAAAAAATGTTCGGACACATGCTGTATCTTTAATTTTACAGTCACATATATACAGATTCTCTAAATGAACTATGGCACCTGTGGCAGAACACACGTCAAATCGCTATTTGCACCGCAACCAGTCATGCTGAACACTTTGGTCTTGATAAATCATATCAAAGAGAGCTTGCAGCTTCATTGGAATGGAAACCTCTCTTATATGCAGACAGATAACATTTCAGACAGATAAATCTAGAGCAGACGTATGCGCTTGCCCTGCATTAATGCTGATTTATTCACCACAAAGATGCTTTAGATATACCGATACCAGTTAACCTGTTCCTGTACCCAGCAGCTCACAACATGAATCAAAACACCACTAAAAATGGGACATGATTTTCGAGTCATGCGTGTGGCTCTAGATTGCATATCAGTTATCTAAAGGAGTGAACAAGAATGCACAATAGTCTGAAGGTCCGTTATGCTTTGGTCACAAAAACCGCATTGTTTCGTCAATCTTAAACAGTCTTTTCAAGAAGTTAACCGAGACTGTCAACAACCCAAGGACAATGACTATTTACTGTACACTCACAATCTTCTGCACAATTACATGTGATGGCATGTGCTTTAGGCCAAAGGAAGTTGATTTGCCTATTTCAATGGACCTTTATGTAACAAATTGATTTGTATGAGGTATTTTCCCTTAGAATAGCCCGTATTCAGAAAACATCCCGCAGACAAAGAACTGTTCAAGGTTGGCTGGATTTTTTTTTAGATTTTTTAGTGGTTAATACAATTACAACACATCAACATTTCACTTCTCCATGTTTTCTGGCTTTTTTATTGGAATATTAAAGGCCAGAGTTGAAAGCTTGTTTCTGCCACTGAATAAAAATAAATAATAGCGACTTTTTATCTTGCAAGATATGAAGTCAGAATTGTGAGAAATAAAGTCACAGTTGCAAGATATAAAGTTGCAATTCTGAGAAATAAAATCGCAATTGCGAGATATAAAGTCGCAATTGTGAGAAAAAAAGACAGAATTTCGACTTTTTTTCTCACAATTGCGAATTCACATCTCGCAATTCTGACTTTATAAAGTAATTGCGAGTTTATATCTCGATATTCTGACATCTTTTCTCAGAATTGTGAGATATAAACTCACAATTGCGAGTTATCAGGCCAATTCTAAAGAGGAAAAATGAACTTTGCCCCTCAGAATAGTTTATATACTTTTTTATCATGCATTTCTGACTTTATAACATGAAATTGCGACTTTATATCTCGCAATTCTGACTTTATAACACCCAATTCTGACTTTTATATCTCACAACTCTGACTTTATATCTCTCAATTCTGATTATATCACACAATTCTGACTTTATATCTTGCAATTCTGACTATATCTCGCAATTCTGACTTTATATCTCTCAATTCTGACTTTATATCTCTCAATTCTGACTTTATATCTCTCAATTCTGACTTTATATCTCTCAATTCTGACTTTATATCTCTCAATTCTGATTATATCACGCAATTCTGACTTCATATCTCACAATTCTGACTATATCTCGCAATTCTGACTTTATATCTCACAACTCTGACTTTATATCACACAATTGCAACTTTATATCTCGCATTTCTGACTTTATATCTCGCAATTCTGACTTTAAATCTCGCAATTCTGACTTTATATCTCACAATTTGACTTTATATCTCACAACTTTGACTTTATATCTGCAATTCGACTTTATATCTCGCAATTCTGACTTTAAATCTCGCAATTCTTACTTTAAATCTCGCAATTCTGACTTTATATCTCACAACTTTGACTTAATATCATGCAATTGCGACTTTATATCTCGCATTTCTGACTTTATATCTCGCAATTCTGACTTTAAATCTTGCAATTCTGACTTCATAAAGTGCAATTGTGACTTTATATCTCGCATTTCTGACTTTATAACACGCAATTCTGATTTTATATCTCGCAATTCTGAGAAATAAAGTCAGAATTGTGTGATTTAAAGTTTTTTATTTTTTTTATTCTGTGGCGAAAACAAGCTTCCAGAGAAAGGCCATACTTTCTGTAAATCAGAAAACTTTGATTAATATTTTAGTTTAGACTCATAAATAATCAGTGAGTGTATCATGAGAAATCAATCTTTCCTCTGAGATAAAAGATCTTGACGCACAATGAAAACATGCAAAATGAAAGCAAAGTGGTTGACTTTGTTTTAGGAAAATGTAATCATTACAATCTTTAACTGTTGATGCGCCAGCACAGATTGTTACATGTTATTGAAGAAAAGGGCAGTTGAACACTATATAGGAGCTGACAGAAAACCCTACAGCCTACATTTACATATGCAAATGTTTCTTAGAAGATACTGTACGTCACTAACATTGTAAGAGGACTTCAGGAAAATCCAAAGCTAAACAAAATGTGATATGACCCTAATAAGGAACCGGTTGACTCAGCAGTTGTCTCTTCTGTGAGCGTCTGACTTCCCCTTCTCCTGGCCTGACGTCAGAGTCCCACCGAGATCAAAAGAGTGAAAATGCTTCTCAAGCGCTTTGCCTCGACAGAAACTCAATCTGCCTCAGGCCACACAGGGAATTTCATATGTTAAAATCTTTGCTGATCACCGGTCATGAATGAAACCCCTTGAAAGACAAGAGAGCCTTGATGGGCAAAAAAAGTAGTATTTGCATCACTTTTCTGCGCTTGAAGTGCTGCAAAGTTAATCTCTGTGGCTTTCCCAATAAAAATGAGCATGCCAGCTGTATTGTTTGCCCAGGAGTGTTTGTCTGTTTCGTCTCTATAGAGGACGAGTGGCGGGATGGCGGTGTCTCTGGTCCCTCATACCCAGTCTCCTGCAGTTTTCCACCCAGCTCCACCCAGACCCCTGTACGGCCAGCACGTCCCCCTGCAGGAGGTGCCCACCGGACCCGAATACTGCCATAACGGTACGAGACCAGAATCTTATTAACATCATCATCTCTGTTATTCAATTGATATACAAGTAATAGAACAGATTTATATTCTTAGAAAATAGTTTTATTTTGAATAAATACTGTTCTTTTTAACATTTTATTCATCAATGTGTCCTAAAAAAAGGATCACAGATTTCAAATAAATATTAAGCAGCTCGACTGTTTCCGACATTTTTCGAATCTGCATATTAGAGTGATTTCTGAAGGATCATGTGACACTGAAGACTGGAGTAATGATGCTGAAAATTCAGCTTTGCATCACAGATATACATTTTATTTTAAATTATATTCAGATATTTTAAATTGTAATAATATTTCACAATATTACTGTTTTTTATCTGTGTTTTTGATAAAATAAATTCAGGGTTGATGAGCATAACACTGTAAAAAAATATTGATGGTTTAACTTAAAAAAATAAGTAACCTGGTTGTCTTAAAATTTGAAGTTCATTGAACTGGAAAAGTGAGTTAATACAATGAAGGAGATTAATTTAACCATCAGAAACTCAAAATTATATGCTATCTGAACTAAATAAATTATTTAAGTTGATTTGACAAAAGAAAAAAATGTTGTGATAACTACACTGTAAAAAAATGTAGTTGGTTTAACTTAAAAAAGTAAGTAACCTGGGTTGCCTTAAAATTTTAAGTTGATTGAACTGGAAAAAGTGAGTTAATACAATGTAGTAGATTAATTTAACCATCAGAAACTCAAAATAATAAGTTATCTCAACTAAATAAATTATTATAAAGTTGATTTGAAAAAATAAAATATGTTGTGATAACAAATCTTGAAAATATTTTTTACAGTGAAGAGGCTTTTTTGAAAAACATTAAAAATAGTAAAAAAAAAAAATATATATATATATGTTCAATTATTATTGTTTTTTATTAATTATATAATAATAATTAATTAAAACAAATATTTAAATTAACTATTATTTAATTATAATGCACAATTCACATGCACATGTGATTTCCAAATTTAAAAAGAGGTCTTATTATATACTTGCTCAACTTGGCTGACATCACAAACATCCCTCTCTATTGGTCCAGTCAATTCCTGATCGCTAAAATCATTCCATTGAACACTTTATCTCATAGAAAATCCTGTTTCACTGTAAAAGATTTGAGAAGTGAACTGTGAATTGTAAAGTGACTGCGGCATGTCTCAGAATGAGGTCAATGCACTCTTGACACAATATAAAGTTTGACGACTGTTTGGCGTAAAACAGATCTTTGTGTGTGCAACTGTGCAACGTGCATGTGCGCGCAAACACACACTTCAGTTTTTGAGGAGGAGGAAACTGAGGCATCTGGTAAAAGCATCTCTTTGGGGGTCAATGTCCCTGTCATCCCCCAGAGAACAATGTTTTCTCTGCCACACTCAGTGTGTGTGCGTGTGTGTGTGTGTTTGTGTGACGTTAGATGGGGGAGGTGACTGCATGCTCTGGATTTTTTTGTCCTGGACATTTTTTTTTAATGTTTATTCAAAATGAGTACATTCCTCCCAGTGTTTGACATCAGACTCCCTGCTTTTCAAAATTCTGGAAAAAGTGGCGACATGCACCATCTGTATATATGAGTGTGTGTGTGTGTGTGTGTGTTGGGGTGGACACGGCAGTGGCACCAACTATCCGTTGACACCTCCCCAAACGGGACACAAGGCCACAAGGGTACAAGGGCGCAAGGGCTCAGTCGTTTTCCCAAGCCTCAGGGCCCCTCGGGGATCACGAGTGGGATCGGGCCGGGTCGGGTTTGATGGGATTTGCTGATGTTTGTTGCCGGAGACACTCACTAAAAGCCTCCAGCTTCAACTGAGTATGTTGCACCATCATAAACAATGTCCACTGGAAAGAAACGACCCCTTGAACCTTTCCTCCGAGGTGATGCGTGTGAGGAGCGCTGTGAACGTTCTGATGTTTGGTGTTTTATTTAATCCGACGGCCCGTGTGTTTAGAGAGTGTTTAGGAGGCTCCAGAGATGCCGTTTCTCGGCTGTTTCTTTAGTCATGGGTGAGGCACAGTGTAGTCAAGTCTAAACCAGTGAACGAGCCCGCCTGTGTGAGACGGTAACCTCAAAACACACTCTTGAACTGTCATCCAAGCCACCGCATGCAGAAACCGTTGGACTGCGACAGCTGTTAGTCAGACTGAAACCCTCGTCTGGAGCCGTTACTCTGACTTCTTACCTTGTACTTTCATCTGAAGTCATCAGGCGTGCATATATGAAAACAGTTGGAAAAATGCAAACTTTGTTTTGTTTTTAAAGAAAGGGTTGCTACTTTAATACACTTTTTGTTGGAACATATTAATCAGAACTTACGTTAAAGTATGATTTAGTTTCCCATAAATACTTTTCAGTACATTGGCAGTATGTTTTAACCATATTTTAAAGTAGTGTTGTCAAAGTACCAACTTCGATACCAAGTTGGTACTGATTTTTTTTTTTTTTTTTTTTAAATAGGTTGATACCAGCATTACCCTCTAGCATTTTGAGCGCTGTTGAAGTGATGGTCCTCACTGCAGAACATGAAATCCACCTTAAATATACCGAATCCTACCCATCTCCGCCCCTGATCCCTAACCCCACCCCTAATCCTACCCATCTCCGCCCCCTGATCCCTAACCCCACCCCTAATCCTACCCATATCCGCCCCCTGATCCCTAACCCCACCCTTAATCCTACCCATCTCCACCCCTGATCCCTAACCCCACCCCTAATCCGACCCATCTCCGCCCCCTGATGCCTAACCCCATCCTTAATCCGCGTTCGGGACTCTTCTGTTCGAACTCATTCATCAAAGTGCACAAATCTTTTCCTGAATCAATTCGTTGATTTCGTTCGTTAAACGAACCAAATGACACGAAAAAAGATTCGTTCATTTTGATAAACGAGTTCGAACAGGAGAGTCACGAACGTCCGTCACAGAACAGAGCAAGGCGAACATTTGAGCTTATAAAACTTAAACTTTTTTTTTTAAATGAGCGATCGTTTCGCTTGATAAGACCCTTATTCATCGTCTGGTCTCGTTTAAAGCCCTTTGAACAATTTGCTGTTTGCACTGAAACTGTCTTTTGGACCTTGAACCGTTTGGTTCCCATTGAAGTCCATTATATGGAGAAAAATCCTGGAATGTTTTCATCAAAAACCTTCATTTCTTTTCGACTGAAGAAAGAATGACATTGATATCTTGGATGACACGGGGGTGAGTAAATTATCAGCAAAAGTTTTTTTGAAAAGTAAACTACTTAAGCGTTACCTCAAAGCCGGCAGGCTGTTGTTGTTTTGTCTCATTCCGTAGTTAGCCTATGCTTGTTTTTTCCATAATTTTCATGACAGCAAATATCTAGCAAGATGTGACCAAATGATATAATTTCCAATAAGAAAACGGACTAAAATTCTTTTGACTACATGATTTGGCTTTCCGGACGTCATTTTTTTCCTCTGTCATATTTTTGTACGATCCAATCACATGCACTGACTTATATTTAATGAATCAGTGCCATATTGTTGAAGGTGTAATTTACTGCATGATTATTGCAGCAGCAGTCCGGCCTCTGGTTTCCAGGTGTGCCGTGTGACACGCGCGTGAACACATGTGTTCAGTCAGCTCCAGTGTAGCGCTCTTGTCCTGAATCTGGAGGCTTTCAGCGCAGGTGCAGACAGTTAAACCAGACTCGAGCTGTAACTACACATATGTGACCTGTATGTGGAGGGAGAAAACTTGTGTCAGTTTTCTGTTGCACCTCAAGTCCACCAAGAAGGAATTGCTTTTATTCATTGCTTTCTATTTAGCATGCACGCAACCATGTAACAAACAGAGTAGACTATTGCTCTGTACAGACCAGATGCGAATGATGCTTGTCAGAGAACACACAGTGTGCTTCCAAAGATAAGATATGCAACCATTATGCAATAACACTTTATTTTGATAGTCCACTTTAGACATTCCACTGACTTTTAGTCATTAGAGTATTATTAGACTGTTTGTTTAATATATGCTAACACTTTATTTTGATGCTCCTCAACAGACTTTGCTACTGATCTTATTCTACTAACCCGATGTCGCATTTAAAGTTAATATATTTTAAATGCTGTAAGTTCAACTACATCAATGCAAACATGTGATGGGGTAATGAACTGGCTTTTTAAATTTTATCATAATGTTGTCTGAGGTCAATTTATGACGTTCGCTTGGTTTTTGCATTCAAAAACATCAAAATGAATAAGTAATCGTCTATTTTTTACCCAAGTTTTGAGCCTAGCTGAAAAACGCTCGGTTTTTATGGGCGTCTCGCACTGAAGACTTGGAAGTAAACGCCCACTGCTGTGAGTGGATAACAGTTTTGCATATTATAATGAGTTTCGACTCACCCGTCGATGCACTTGGGGGAAATTGTTTTGCAAACGTCCAATGTTGTAAAATGGCAACCGGAATGATTCGCCCGAGTCATTCCTGTCAGATCCAACATAGACGGCACTTTACTCTTAATCGTTCTGCAAATCCAGTCTTGTTTACAAAACAATCCTCAGTGAAATGAAGCGAACAGGCGGACGATGTTTTACCTCATCAGCTGGAACGTCATTAAAAATAAAGTTCATCCATGCAGTCCTATAGGAATTCAGAGGAAGCTTATGCAGCGACTGTCTTCTTCCACATTTGTCATCACGAGGTAGGCATCTATGTTATTTAGCTATGCGTGTAATGCGCGAATCAGGGGCTAAAGTAGGCGTTGACCTTCTTCTGCGGGGATGGGGTTTTATCCTCTTTGACGTCATAGTTCCCCACTTTGAAAAACGAGTCGTTTTCAGAGGCTGGTGTCAATAAAAGCTTTTATTGGACTAACACGGACGTTTTCAGTTCTGAAACGTACAGGATATTCCTATAATATGATGACCTCTTAGATGTCAAAAGCTCAAGGAAAATTGGATTTCTCAGTTCATCACCCCTTTAAATACATGGCCTTGAC